GTTGACGCAGAAGTGAAACGATTCCGAGTTGACTCTTACAATCTACTTATACAGCAGGTAAATCTTTCTGATACTTTGGATTGATGAGAGCTCGAGTAGGAGTGTGTTGAAAATCAATATAAACAAAACAGGCTGAGCTATTTCATATATACTTTTGAAACTCTAGAAACACACCCTTCAAATTAGAATTTTGTTTAACTCCACGCGATCCGTAAAGCTTCTCTACGCAAATGATTTAGGATTATACTAGTAAAATGGGTCTTTACACACTATTCATTTTGTTGCTTCCACTCGTACTTTTCCTATTATCATTGATAGGTATATTCTTCCTACTTATTAGGTAAGCTCCAATCAGACGTGTGCTTAGCTTGAATGATTGAGGCATTTAAAGTTATTGATCACTTCAGATACATTGCTGACTGTTGTAAAGGACCCGGTAAACGAAAGTATGCAATGCGAGGTTGTCCATCTCGCGTTGGGGCATACATACTAGGCTGTGGCGGCTATTTAGCCCTTGTCATCACAGTGGTATTCGTTATTCTATTGGTGTAAGCATTTCGAAAAACTTCTATTGTTGTAGCAATAGCAAGGAACTCTAATTTTAGCGTTTCCTTTATGCTTGCTTTTGCATCCATGTTCATTTGTATGGGCGTATTTGAAGATAAAGATTTGCGCGTTTTATTTGCTTTGCCGAGACGAGAATTTCGGAGCAGTATTAGCACTAGGAATATAACTCTTACCCTGCAGTAAGTGGTTCTGTACAAACCTCTACTACCTAGCTATGCTCACTTTTAAAACTAGCCAAAATATTCCTTGACAAATTTTTCTCTAGCGATACCCTTTACAAATGCAAGAACGATTATTCGTTCTTTGACGCTATCAATGGTGAACAGATTTGGGCTCAGGAAGAGCTTCGCACTGTAGGGATTTTTTCACAATCTTATAAGAATTGTATACAAACAACATAAAAGTAATAATGAATTCTATTTTAGAGGTTATCAGCGCTGCGAAAAACTAGTTTTCGCCGAAAAATTCGTAATTTTTATGTTAATGGAACGCTGAACGATGATTTGGATGCTATGCTCCTGCAACTCAGGGTAAAGTTTTAAGGAACGAAGCCACTTGCACATTTTTTTGAAGCGCCAACATTCGCTTTTCTATACTGAGACTACAAGTATCTATGAAAATGATTG